TCGGGCTATATAAGGATTTTTTTTCGTATTATGACTTTCGAAATAACTTATGGAATTTTGCCGGAACATTCTGCTTTCTTTTTCTGATATAGACGATATTGTGCAATCATCACGATCACCCTAAGTCACTCTTTCACCTTAAGTCACTTAACAAATATATATATTAAAAATAAGGTAAAAATAAAATATTTATTTTGTAAAACATGAGTAAAAAATTACAGGTGTTAAAAAACTTAAAACGAGCTACATGTTTTGTCATTTATGGCGTACAAATATTATACTACATTAAGTTTACAATTACAATAATAGGTATATAAATATATGAATTAAATTTGATAGGTTAATGCTTTTGTAAACTTAATAAAATATTTTCAATTAGAATAATATTGGTGTCAAAGGTAATAATAAAAATACTTAATCTAAATGTAATTACAGCCAAACATTACCTCCCACAAGTTCAAGGTTGGTACTGCAGTGTCAGCTAACCTTCTTTTATTGTAAGCTTGGGGTATGAAATATGATTTTCCAAAATGTTTGGAGCAAATGGTGCTAGTCCGTTTAGGTATCCAAGATTCATGGTCCCACAAGCTACAATCCAAGTTTGAAGCCTTTTTTTTTTTTGTACATGGGGAAATGCCTACGCATAACCGCCTCGCGGGGGGCAAGGACGGGTTATGTCGGACTCGCACCGACTAAAACCCCATGGTGTTCCACCTTTGTCGCTATTGGCAGGGCCACGGGAACGCTTTCGCACACATCCGCAGCCCCACCAGCGCCTGCCGCCCCATGGCAGCACCTCCTCGGGAGCGGAATATTCCACCCCGTTCTCCTTCACAGGTAAGGCGCACCAGAACACATGGCGCGCCTTCCTTCTCGGCCTCTAATTACATCTGCGCAACGGACGCCCCCGCGTCCAATGCAAGAAGGCCATGGGGCCAGGAAAAACAAGCACTTAGAAGTACAAGCCTTCCCGACCCCAGCGACGGATCTGGTCTATGGCTCCGCCGCCAACCAAGATTCGGCTGCGGAGGGTAGGGAGAGCGGCGCCTCGCAATACCGACAATCCTCTCCCCCCGCAGCCCCACCACCACCGCATCAACGGTGCGGCCCCGTTTGAGTCGCGGAGGATAGGGCGAGTGGCGCATCGCCATACCAACACTCCTCTTCCTCCGCGACTCCACCTCGGCTGTAGCGGTAGGTGGGGAGGACACACCTCTCACCGCAGTCCACCAACACACATCCGAAGTGGGCTCCCCAAGCCCACTCGGAGTGGCCACCTCGGGCCGGCCCTCCACCTTGGACCAGCCATATGGGTTCCTCTTTGTTTCACCGTGGGTGACCAAGCCACGGCTTCTAAGCCCCCCGCCACGACAAGGCGGGAACCCGTTCGGGGGGGAAGTTTGAAGCCTAAGAGGATGTCTTGGAAATCTGTAACAACAAACCAATAATAGAAAAATTTACTACTTTTTGTAATAATTTATTATGAAATCTAAATAAAAACTACAAACCGGTTCGGCTGACAAACCCGCATGGTTAATTAACTTACCGATAGCTAAAGTTGTGGTGTTCATAACTATAGTGCAATACTTTCGGTTGCAGTGATACCAGTTTATTTTTATAAAAATTGCACACTTCTGCTCCGATGTGACAAGTTTCGATTAGACTTATTTGGCCTGTATTTTGTATAATATTTTAATAAATACTAGTTATCGATTATATTTAATTATATAACACTCAATATCATGTTGAAATTGTGTGTATAATACTCAGTATCCTGTTGAAAGTGAGCCGTGGTAGCTCAGATGGTTAACGCTCGCTGTAAATACAACAGAACGCGAGTAACCCGGGTTCGATCTCCGCTGGCACCAATGAAATTGTTAATTGCAATTTAAAGTGCTGATTTACCACGTACTCGGCGGTGAAGGAAAACATCGTGAGGAAACCCGCATGTCTGAGGAATAAGAAAAAAAATATTTCGAAGACATGTGAAGTTCGCCAACACGCATTGGGGCAGCGCGGCGGGCACTTCCTTGCCCTAAAACGCTCTCAGAAAAGAGGGGAGGCCTGTGCCCAGCAGTGGGACGTATATAGGCTGTAACTAACTAATATAATCAATGATCATCTGTATATACAATCAAGATAAAAAACATCATTTAACAAAATCCACTACACATCTATATGTAATGATTATTATTCATCTCAAACTGATTTAGTTATCAGGAAATATATTTTCTTTAATATATATAACTTTTGTAGTAAACTGTATTTATTTAGAAATAGATTATTTTTCACTTTATGAACTATGATGGCCACACTCGGTATTGGACGAAAATATTCAGAAAGTACGAGTTTTAATGATAATATTACCTCAAAATTATGTTAAAAATACTCACAGATGAAAGGTCATGTTGTTCTTTTGTATATTGGACGTTTTTGATTGTTTTTCTTCATGTAAATACAACGCAATTCGGAATTTTGTCGGAGCTCGATTTACTAGCACGATCACTTCGGAATGGCGCACGACGCGGAGCAACTAGTTTTGTATAACGGGTATGAGTCGAACTCTCGTACCTTTTACAGAGGGGTATGCCTTGCGATGCCGTCTCCTTTGCTTTGATACTCAAAGCCATTACTTTTTTTTTTTTGCGCCCGAAGCAATTAAAGGGCTACCCTATACGTAGGGAGGCGGAAAATGCATTACGCATACCACGATAGCCGGTCTATCGTGGTTATGAGGGGCTCACTGTCCTACCGGGGACCCTAAGTGATACCCTCTAAAAACCGCCTTTGGGGACAGGCAACCGGCTGATTAAGCTCTATTGTGCCTTATCATGAGCGACCCTCTTTTGGGAAAAGAGCGCGCAGGCGGCTAAGTGCCGCTGAGGGAGTGCCTACGAAGGCAAATTAATGTTAGATATTACAATAATTTTATTTAATTAGAGTTGGCCTGAGCCGCCAGGAGACAGTTCAGGTCGTTTGAAAGTTTATTAGGCGGGTCCGAGAGAGAGTTTCTCGGCCTGCGGACACGATAGCGAGAGGGGGGTGGGGCTGCATAAGAAGCTGCCTCACGAATTAAATGGTTTGGGTGCGACTCTGAGGCTTTGAAGAAGTTCTCAGAGAGTTTTTTAAAAAATTGTTGAATTGTTGGGAGCTCTAAGTCCCGATGAAGGTCGGCATTACGGACGTACCACGGTGCGTTCGCAGCTCGACGACAGAAGAGGTTCTGAACTATTTGGAGTTCATTTAAAATGTTAGGGTTTGCGTGGGCAAAGACGGGGCCCGCGTAGGAGGAAAGCCAATACCCAGTTGACCTTTTTTATATGAGAAAGGGCAAAAGGGAAGGGAGCATGCGGCTCACCTGTTGTTTAAGTGACTACCACCGCCCATGAACAACTGCAGCACCAGGCGAATTGTAAATGCTTTGTTGGCCTTTAAAAAAAGAGTAGGCTCTTTTCTTTCGAAGTCGCATCGGTCCGGAAAAATCGCCTATACTTTTTGTTTTCAATATGCTATTGCATTTCATTGTACAGTTAGCAATTTGTATTTTTCTTAATTTACTCAAGACACAAATAATATATAATGAGACTTAAACTAAGTAATAGTAATTTATAAATATGTATGTCGAATGTGTATTTGACACGTGCACTTAAAATAATAAATAAAATTGACAAGAGAACTCAACAACATAAAAATATCAAAGAGACAATAAAGAAAAATAAGGAAAAGTTAGGAGAGGAGAGAAGGGGAGTGCAGAAGAGGAGAGAGGACAGGATATGAGTGGCAATAAATAAAATAGGATGAAACAGGACAGAATAGGAGAGAATAGCTACACAATGGAAAAAAGATAGAACAGGAAAGGATGAGACGGGACTGGACGAATCGGAATGGTGTAGGATGGGTTGAGACGTGGTTAGACCGGACGGGACGGGACGTAACCTGACAGTTCGCAATAGGTCAGGACCAAATATAAAAGAATTTGTTTAATTCAATATAGATTATAAGTAATTCCTATTAAAAGTAATTTACTTTTACTGGTTCGGAAAAGAACCTATGTTCAGTTCTGGGAAGAAGCAGCAAAGAATCGAGCGGGACTTTTTATTGAAGTAAATTGTACCATAAGAAAGGTTTTATAATTTGAACAGCAATTAACTTAATAATTGAGATGGAACTTGTTTCCGAACTTGATAAAAGGATTGGAGGGTAGGAACTGGGGACGAACGGCGGCGGGTCGAGTTCGCGACGAGTGGTGACAGAATAAATAATAGTACTACGTAGGAATTCTGTCAGACATTAAATTAAGTTTGCTTAAATATATTAAAACTGTGTATCAGTAAACTTCATATATTTTAAATAGAAGCTTATATTGGTGGAACGTTAATTTTAGAAGTGCAACGGGGTAAGAATTTAGTAGTATATATTGTTTGGTAGTCTGAGTAATTCTGGTACAGTATTCTTAGATTATGCAATTATTTCAGTCTGTGGAAACGCCCATCAAGTTAATTGTGACAATTACGCTTTCCTACATCTCTGATATAAAGTGTTATTAGTATAATTTATTTGTTTCAAAAGATAAAGACAGTGAAAGATAATACTATACTCTTGTTTGAAACTGATGGTTGTCGACAAATATAGCCTATTACCTAGAGCGGCAATATATGCATCGGGCGACTTCCTCAGGTTCGTGTTTCGGGCCCCGAGTAAAGCTAGATAGTTTTTTTATTGTTTTTCCCTTTTTCTTTTTATATTTAGTTTCTTTATTGTTTTCCCCTTTTTCTTTTCTATTAATTCAAGTCTATCTGAATTTGTTCTAAATCTATTATCTTGATTAGTATATAGTCTTTTATTCGGACTGCAAGAACAAAAAAGAAATTTATAAATATCAGCAAATGTGTTATGTAAAACAAAATTAATAGTTAAATTATACAACAGAACCGAAGTAACTCATGTCTTTTACATTGTTTCAAAAAAATTAGTCGCCTTCTTACTGCCCGATAGTAACGATGAAAGCTGGAACGTTTGCTCTTGTAAGTTATATTATTATTGGTAAGTGTTTTACACCTATAAGTATTATGTTTCTAAATGATTTCTTATGTTTACGCAAATACTACACAATTAAATAAATCTTATTTTTATGGACTTTATCGCGTATATTAACTTATTTTATATTCCCATAACATTACAATTAGGATGTTCTTTGATTTCAATAGCCTCGCGAATCACCCTTGAAAGGAATTGGTGACTACAAATGCTCGCTAAAAAGTTGGAATTACTTGTTTTTAAAAATCATATTTCAATCCATTAAGCATAATACACAATCTGTTAATATAATTCATTACTTGGAAAGAAGACGCTTCAAGGAATCTAATTTAATATTTCTTTACGTATAATTTAAGTACCTAGAGAGTGCATTACATCAAAATATTAGGAGGATATCTAAACTGCATAAAATGTTTTTAGCGATTAACTCATAAAAAATCCAAATATGATAAACAAGAAAGGCTGCATGGGTGTCCGACTGATTTTACCAAGATTATACGTATGAAAAATTAAACTTTCAACTAAATTACGTTTTCAAAGAACTAAAAGGAGTAAAATGATTTCACGAAGTGAAGTCCGTGCTATTCATTAATTTATTTACTACAGCCTATTAAAGTCTGCTCGAGAAAGGCCTCTCCATTGAGTTATCTATGGAATGTCTCATAAGAGCAATTTTAGCCAAAGTTGTGGATTGGCAGCCGCAGATTTTACTTATATTCTAGTTGATAAAAGAGAGATGTTACTATTCATTTTATGTTTTGTTGCTTCTTAAGACACACACGAAATGATATTAGGTAATAGATGTTCTTAAAAAACTGATTGAATTTGATCAGACAGCGTGACCTCGACAAGTCAACAATATAACCCAACCTCTCAAATTCGCGGTCGATGTGTGCCAATGGTATAATACTTTAATTTACAGGATACGCTGTAACTTGTGACGTATTAGTCGATCATAATGAAGCGATAAACATAACGAAACGAATCATCAAATGCGAATCAAAATTCGATGAATTGATGAATGAACTATTATCTCAGAACTGGGCTGAAGAGGAAAGGCCATGTTTGGAGCAAATCTTGACAACAATATATAATGTGAAAAATTTAACCCTGTGGGCAAATTGGAGTAAGTATAATTTGAAATTATTATTTATTTATTCCACAAACATTTTTTAAAATTTATTTATCGAATATACAATTTGCATTGTGTTTCAAGTTACATAGTGCACATCATAAATTTATATGTATATATATATATATATATATATATATATATATATATATATATATTTATATTAATTACGTAACTAGTTAAAAATTGCGTTAAAACTGATCTCAATTCATGAAATATGTCACTACTAGTTTTCAATTATAACACAATTTATTACTAATAGTAGTCGAAGTATAATTATAAAACCAAAAGTAAAAAACAACAAAACAATTTTTATGAGAAATATAAAGTCAGAGCGTCATCGTATGTCTAAAATATTTCATTATATCTATTTATTCTCTTTTGACACCAAATTAAACACCGATAATAAAAAAAATTAACATGAAGGATTTCAGTTCTGCTTTAAATAAATTTGTGTGGTAAATCAATTCCTTTAAGTAGGTGGGTAACTCAATTAATAGCTCAACTGCTTTATAATTTGGGCAATGTTTTACTGTATTGAATTTTGAAGTAATACTATTTTGTATTTCCTTTCTACGTGTGCTTTACTATTTACTCCTTTTCCTATTTCCTATTACATTTCGTGTTGTCGTATATTCTTAGCCAAGTGGCGTAGAACGAATAAAATATATAAACTTAGTATTGTTAATATGCCAAATTTTTTAAGTATTTTTTGCAGACTAACTTTGCGAGACCCTAAAAGTATTTCTTATAGCACGCTTTTGGACGATAAATGATCTCTGGAAATTATAGCTATAACTGTTTCCACAAACCATAATACTATATCTCAATACCTAGATTCTACCAGAGCATGATATACTACTTTGCGTTAGTTTAAATTAATTTCATCCCTTAGGCTTCTAAGCGCGTGACAGGCAGAAGGTATAGATGCATCGATTGTAGCCAGTTCTTCCTTCCCGTATTTTTTTTATAGAAGAGGGGGCAAACGAGCATACGGTTCACCTGATGTTAAGTGACTACCGCCGCCCATGAACCGCAACACCAGAGGAATTGCAGGTGGGTTGCCGGCCCTTTAGAAAGGAGTAAGCTCTTTTCTTGAAGGTCCCCAGGTCGTATCGGTCCGGAAAAATTCGCCGGTGGTAAACTATTCCACAGAGAGGATGTACGCGGAAGAAAACTCCTTGTGAAACGTACAGTGGTGGACCGCCAACCATCCAGACGGTATGGATGGTATCGGGAGGTTTGCCGCGTAGTGCGTTCATGAAATTTGGTGGCTGGGATTAATCCGAACAATTCCTTAGAGCACTCCCCCTGATAGTTGTGATAAAATACGCAAAGAGATGAAACATCTCTTCGCAGCGCAGGGTGAATCCAGCCGATCGGAAAGCACTCGGTCATCGGCACAACACCAAGTAATTTTATATTTTATATGTAATATTTCCATATATATTAATCACCTTGCAACTAGTTTGTTAAAACTACCAAAGTCGTCGTAATAGTCATCTAATGAAATAAAAATGGAATTTTTACAATTACTACAAACTTATTTTAAAGTATAATTTAGTAATTGTAATACATTTAAGCATTTATTGTAATATATTTTACTGACCAGAATGTATGTACATATTTGAAATATTTTGCACAATATGATAAAGAGAACTCAATACTTTCCAAGAATTTCTATTTTAAGAGCCTGCCATTATTAAAATAAAGTCAGAATTTGTAAAATCCTTACACATGGAAGGCGCGTTCAATTTTTATAACTGACGTTAAATTGAACGAATCTCCCACTAAAACTTGTAGTTTTTCCCGTATACTATATCCAGCATGATCGGAGAAAATTTTTAAATTTTTTAGAATTGGTTTTTTTTCGGAGCTCGCAGAATTTCTGCTCGGTGAGGTTTCCTGTGCTTTCTACATTATTGCTGCTTATCTTTGGTGCCATCTCTTCCGTTTTCTATTTTTCATTTGTAGTTAAAATCGATATGTCTTAAATTGAGCTGCTGTGCGGATATGTGCTGTGCTGTGCGCCTTCATTCATTATCACTACAGCCTTGCTCATATCCACTACTGAACATAGGCTTTCAGGCGGGCCGACTGCCACTTGATAACTTTTTCTTCCTCATGCGTTGTTGGTTCTTCGAGCTATATAGCCGGTTCATTTCCACTTCAGCTGACTGGGCCATGTCGGTTACTGCAGAGTTTCTTTCGTAGTTTATTCTAATGGGGAACCTCATTTCGATTCTCGTACTCTCTCACTCGTCTCCTTTGTAGAAAGTTTAAAAGAACATCTGATAAACGAAATTTTATTTTCTTACGTCGATGAAATTGATATATTTCATTTCAAACTATTATAATTTGAAGCTGCCCAAGACGGCAATAAGTTTAAAATTCACATTTACAACTTAAAGCCCCGGGGCTTTAAATTGTTCATTGCTCATATGGCACGTGTGTGGGGCAAATTAAGCAACCATAACTTTTTTCTTAAATAATTGTAAAACCCACTAACACCACTAAGACACATGTTTATCCTTGCGCATAATTTTTTTATGCATGCGGCTCACCTGATGGAAGTGACTATCGCTGGCCATGAACAACTTTAACACCAGGAGAATTGTAGGTGCGTTGCCAGTCTTTTAGCAAGGAGTAAGCTCCTTTCTTAAAGGTCTAAGTCATATCGGTCCGGTAAAATCGCCGGTGGTGAACGAGTCCATAGAGAGGTCGTACAAGGTAGAAAACTCCCAGTTAAACCTACAGTGGCGAACCGCCAAGCATCCCGATGGTGTCGATAGTATCGTGAGTTTTGTCGCGATTTGCGTTCATGATATTTAACAGTTGAAATTAATTCGAACAATTCCTCAAATCACTCCCCATGGTAGATGTGATAGAAAATGCAAAGAGATGCAACATTTCTTCGCAGCACCAGTGTATCAAGCCGATCGAAGAGGACTTGGTCGTCGTTACTTTGAGCCTCTTTGCGGTGGATGCGCAAATCAAATGGAACAGTATTCCATGTGTGGCTCAACCTGCGCTTTGTAAAGTTGCAGGCGGTGTACCGGCATGAAATATTAACCCGCTCTGCTGAGCACGCCAAGCGTTTTACAGGCCAACTTGGGCTACTCTTCCAGGTGAACACGAAACTGCACATACTTCGATATGTCGATACAACAGGATTCAGATACTGCATAAGGTGAAAAGCGGAGCATCTTGAAACTGAGGAGATATGACAAAGGGATTACTTTTAGTGGTTAATACGCAAAGTTGTGTCTTATGGGGACTGAATTGGATAAGATTTAGTTGGTGGCAACTAAATCTGATCATCAATCTGATCTCAGCGACGTTTTCCCGAGATATTTTGTCACGGCTGGTGTACAAAGATTCACCAATGCTATTGTTACGCGCTAAAATCGGCGCACTAGCGCCATCTAGTCTCGAACCAAAGAACTAAACTTCTTGAAGTTTAAAACTCGAACTCTCGGTACCTTGCGCGTGTTTACTTGAACATTCTGGATATTTTGCTAATTTATATAAGTAGGCGCTGCAAGATGCGATCGGGCAGAGTTGAACTCGGCGACACAAGCGAAGCTTCGGAGCGGAATTAAGTGAATTAGTGTGTTTAATTATTAGTGTTTTTAGTTTTAATTTGTGTAAAGTAAATTAAAGTGTTAATTTAGGTAATTTTATCGGCAATTTTTATTGTCACGAACCTCAAGCTCGTAACAATTGGTGTCAGAAGTGGGATAAAATCATGCCGATTTTACCTAAGGAGGAAACGGAGGGTGTTCGTACCCGCAGTCAACGCCAGCATGAGATGGACCAGAGAAGATTTGGTGGTGCAACGCTGCAGACGTCGGAGGGCCAGCCGCCGGCAACGGAGGCGGGTTCGTCAGTAGCTCCTGCATCTGCAGCACCTGATTTAGGCGCCCTGATGGTTAATGCTGCAGGAGCAGGCTCGCCGACAGGAGGAGCAGGCTTGCCGACAGGAGGAGCAGGCTCGCCGACAGGAGGAACAGGTCCGTCAGTTGAAAGAGCAGCTGCAGAGCGGACAGGAGGAACAGGTCCGTCAGTTGAAAGAGCAGCTGCAGAGCGGACAAGAGGAACAGGCCCGCCGACAGGAGGAACAGATGCTCCTCATGAAGGACCTTCACGCTACCTTCGGGAAGGAGATAAAGGAGGTGAAGGATAGGGTTGCTCAGCATGACAAACGCCTGTCGGAAGCTGAAACCCATATCGCGAAAGCTGAAAACCGAATCGAGAAAGCTGAAACCCGAATCGACCAAGTAAACAATCGGGTTGACAACGTAATGGCTGACATGAAGAAATCACTGGACGAACTCAAACTTGGAGATGGAGCTACAGCTCCCGTAGTAGCTACAACACCTTCGCTACGTGGGTTCAAGGTGCCACCGTTCGACGGTACCTCTTCCTGGTCAGCCTACAAAATCCAGTTCGAGGCTGTTACGAAGGTGAACGGCTGGAATAAAAATCAGGCCATGACTGCTCTCACACTAGGCCTGCGCGACCAGGCCTTAACAGTTCTGGAAGCTCTCGGTGAGGAAGTAACTTATGAGCAACTCCTTGAGGCATTGGAGGTGAGATATGGCGACGCTCACCTGGAACACGTCTTTCGTGCGCAGCTTAAAGATCGCGTGCAGCGCATCAACGAAAACCTGCAGCAGTGGGCTCTAGAGGTGGAGAAGCTGGTGCGAAAAGCATACCGGTCTGTACCTGCGCTCATTGAAGGGAACCTGGTGCAGACATTCATCGACGGCATCCGTGACCTGGAAGTCAGAGCTGCTGTGAGGCTCGGGCACCACGAGACGCTTAAGAACGCCTTGGCCCATGCACTGGAGGTGGAAGCCGTGCGGCAGGATCATCGTTCCCATCGCGTCAGGGAGGTTGCAGCAGCTACAGACCGTGACCGCAGCAAAGGATACAGCCCTAGGTGCTATGGCTGTGGGGAAAAGGGCCATCTTCGATCCAGCTGCCCTAAACTAACCGTGGAAAGGAGAGTTGATCGATCTCGAGAGGGTAGTACAGCTAACGGCACTGCCTGGCGGCGACAGGATCATCGTTCACCTCACGCTAGGGAGGTTACAGCAGTTACGGTTCGCGACCACAATAAAAGATACAGCCCTAGGTTGCTATGGCCGTGGGGAAAGGGGCCATCTTCGGTCCAGCTGCCCTAAGCACACCCTAGGAAGGGAAGGTGAACGGTCTCAGAAAGGAAGTGCGGCTAACAGCACCGCCCAGCAGCAGCAGGAATACGACTTTACTATCAGACACTGCAGGGGGAAATCTCACGGCAACGCAGATGCATTGACAAGAAGACCTTGTCCTGAAGATTGCAACCATTGTAGTAGGCAAGAGAGTAAGGAAGTGGTATCCGTGAGGATGCTCAGGACAGACCACCTCAGCAACGGGTGGAAGGACAGCCTACGACATGCACAGCAGGAAGATCCGGACATCAAGCCGATTCTGGGATGGATGAAGGCCCGTGCTACCAAGCCTAAGTGGAGGGACATCTCAGCGATGAGTTCAACCACGAAAAGCTATTGGGCCCAATGGGACAGCTTGCTGATTCAGGATGGAGTCCTGTGCCGTAAATGGGACAATGGTCGAAGGGACAGCTGTCGTTTGCAAATGGTTGTCCCTAAAGCTAAAGTGCCGAATGTTCTACAGCTGTGCCATAATGGTCGTTCAAGAGTCCATCTGGGAGTTAAACGAACTCTACTGAAGGTCCGAGAACAGTTTTACTGGGTCCATTATCGTGACGATGTCGAGGATTGGTGTCGTACATGTACAAGTTGTGCGGCCGTGCGGGGACCTCAGACACGTAGTAGAGGAGCACCGAAATTGTACAATGTTGGTGCACTACGGGATAGAACAGCCCTTGACATTGCGGAGCCGTTACAGAAAGGCGCAAGAGGGACTCCTAAGATCGTCCATGTGGATCGCCTAGCGCGTTATTATGGGACCGATAATGCTCGGGACGAGCATGTCTTAGGAGGGGGCAGTGTTACGCGCTAAAATCGGCGCACTAGCGCCATCTAGTCTCGAACCAAAGAACTAAACTTCTTGAAGTTTAAAACTCGAACTCTCGGTACCTTGCGCGTGTTTACTTGAACATTCTGGATATTTTGCTAATTTATATAAGTAGGCGCTGCAAGATGCAATCGGGCAGAGTTGAACTCGGCGACACAAGCGAAGCTTCGGAGCGGAATTAAGTGAATTAGTGTGTTTAATTATTAGTATTTTTAGTTTTAATTTGTGTAAAGTAAATTAAAGTATTAATTTAGGTAATTTTATCGGCAATTTTTATTGTCACGAACCTCAAGCTCGTAACACTATTGTCTGCATAGCACAAGGGTAAACATGTGTCAAAAAGTGTCATGAGTATGAGTTGGACTTTGTTATGAATTTTATTTGTTAAAAATCCTACTATTTTATTAATCTAACCACGGAGGAAAATAATATGTGAAAATATTATCATAAGAGAATAAAATAGTTTGTAATGAATTGTCTTTGACATTGACGGATAGCATTATTTATTGCAGAATTGAAATTGAAAAATAAACATATATTGAACAAAAGCTTTTTTTCACTAATATCGATAAAAATCATGTTAATGAAGCATGTAAATATTACCATAAATTGTAATTTTTAATTATTGCTTTGTTTAACGCATATAATAAATCTTATCAAATCTTCACTATCACGCGATTTGAATTTCCATTTTGATTTGCTTGCTTCATTGTGAAATTTGTGCCTCCCAACGGATAGGTCTTAAGATGGACATGGACAAAACAAAGATCATGTATAATGTGAATGTCACACCTATGCCGGTAGTTGTTGGGAGCACTATGCTCGAAGTTGTTGACGAGTACGTTTACCTGGGACAAATAGTCCGACTAGGTAAGTCCAACTTTGACCGAGAGGTCAATCGACGGATTCAACTCGGCTGGGCAGCGTTCGGGAAATTACGACATATCTTCTCGTCAGGTATACCTCAATCTCTAAAAACTAGATTGTACAACCAGTGCGTGTTGCCAGTGATGACTTACGGATCTGAGACGTGGTCCTTCACTGCTGTACACCGTATGAGGACGCTCAAGGTCGCTCAGCGAGCTATGGAGAGGGCTATGCTCGGAGATTCTCTGCGTGATAGACTCAGAAATGAGGATATCCGCAGTAAAACCAGAGTGACCGACATAGCCCAACGGATTAGTAAGTTGAAGTGGCAATGGGCCGGCCATATAGCTCGAAGAACCGATAACCGATGGGGAAGAAAGGTTCTCGAGTGGCAGCCTCGTACCGGTAGGCGTAGTGTAGGGCGACCCCCCACTAGATGGAGTGACGATCTGGTAAGATATGCAGGAGGTCGATGGATGCAGGTGGCTCAGGACCGTGCTTTGTGGCATTACTTGGGGGAGGCTTATGTTCAGCAGTGGACTTGTGAAGGGCTGTAATGATGATGATGATGATTGTGAAATTTGACAATGGCAGCTTAGTAGAGTTGAAAATGATGTCATCATCCTGTTTCATCCCGTGGGTGTCGTAAGAGGTGACAGCAGGCCTATTCGCTAACTGATAGATCTACGATTTGTAGTGAAACTTTGTAGTACATTGCATCGTATACTATAAGAGCAATCGTAGCTCGTAAAACATACGACGCAATGTACTATAAAGTGACTATCCTTTTGATGTAAGTTAGGGAATAGGCCTTTTGAAAGACCTCGTGGCCTCTGATAATTGTTATAGGCCTTTTTGAACATCACAGACAAATATAACCGATCTCATCGCATAAGTGTTACATCAGGTATGATGTTATGTTAATTTATCATTATCATCTTCATTTTATCAGCCCTTTAAAGTCGGTCCGTTGCTGGTATTGGTTGACTTGTATATTTTTGATTTAGAAATATTTTCCTTGATCGCCATTCGGATTAGTAATCGCCATACTAGACTTTCGCATCTTTGAAGTCACTGCCCGTCGTCAGTCGAAAAATCTTGAACAAGTGACGAGATCAAATTCAAATTACTTATTGTATGTCACATTACAAATTTATTATATATTATTGACAGGTATATATGTGACGGTGCAATATCCAAAGGTGAGTTATCGCTACCGTTACAAACAACAACGAACATAGGCCTACTCCATAGATTGCCTCGAAGGGTATACCGATAGGTCACCTCTGACGACACCCACGAGATGATATAGGGTAGTGAATATTCTTACACTGCCACTACTAGTTATTTCTTATTTATCTGGCTTCTATAACATAAATTATAACACATAAAAAGTCAATTATAATAATATTACAGAAGGTTAGACCTGTCTTGGGTTTCGCATAGTGAACTCATACTACACCTATAGCACAAATTAGGATATAAGGTAGCTAATAACGCAGAAATGTTTTACTTTTAATCAGTATGGGACAGCATGCAGTTGCCAGTTGGTCAACTATACGGATCTCGGTATCATCTTGGTAATTATGACCAATGTCTGAGAGAGACAGTGGCCGGTTCTCATTTCCCCTTTCGGAAGCAGTATTGCTTAGCAGATATTGTACTTCAACCTGATAAAAAGGAAGTTGTGTTTTCTAACAAAATTAATCTTAATGGACCAACAGAAAAATATATTTACGTGAGTCTAATCTTACCGTTCTTAAAGCAATTTATCATAATCATCATCATTACAGCCTATAGCCTATATTTACAGCCTATTATATCTCACCACTGAATATAGTCCTACCTGCATCTCTAACCTTCCTTCTTAACTTCATTTAGCTCTAACCAGGTAGTCCCGCCATCTAGTGGTGCCCACCCTACACTTCGCTTTTTTGCATAGTTTTCGACACGCACACTCTGGTGCATGCGCACACGTGTATTATAATATAATCGATTAACAAAGTATTAATAAGAACTAAAAGAGGGAAGGAAAGTAGCCCCTGAAATACAGGTGTAATATCCTATAGTATATATAATCTTCGAGGCTGTTGACTACTGTAAATTTTTGTGCATGTAATATGCTTATCATAAAGATTATAATAATTATTATATATATAAAAAAGGGTTTTCTGAGAGGGTTTTACCTTTTTTAACGTATTGTCCTCCGCGCTGCCCCAAGGCGTGTTGGCGAACTTTGTTTGCATGTCTTCGAAATATTTTTTTTCTTATTTCTCGGGCATGCAGGTTTCCTCACGATGTTTTTTCCTTTATCGCCGAATACTTGGTAAATCAACATTTAAAGTTGCAATTAACAATTTCATTGGTGCCGGCGGGGATCAAACCCGGTTTGCTCGCGTACTGTGAAGTTTACAGCGAGCGCTAACCATCTGAGCTACCACGGCTCTTTACCCCTCAGAAATCTGTGAAGGCCTGTGTCAAAGAGTGGAACGTATATAGAGTGTAATTTTTTTAACTTTTATATGAAAAAGAGCAAAGCAATAGTGCAGTATTTTACAAATTTTACGAGTTTGATAATTTGTTCATTACTAATTAAATTTTCCAATAGGTGTATGATAGGTCGTAATTTTTTTGGAAATTGTAAAATAATGTAAGATTTATAATACAAATGGTAGACAGTATTACATTTGCAAAGTATAGGAAGTATTTACTACGCACTTGGGGTCTTTATAACTTATTTTTATTAAAACGGAAGTGACAGTGCGTAGCCACTTACCATCAGGTGGACTGCGAGTGCAGCCCGTGGACACCTGCAGGATCTTCATAAAAAAGCTACAGATTCGTTGTCACTCCTAAGGACTAAGATGGAATGCCCCCCCAGCCTTTAATTATACTGGTTCTCGTTGACCTTCAGACCTGAACACAGCAATGAAAGCACTGCTGTTTGGCGACAGGAATAAGTAAGACGGACTCATAAGGAAGACAGGAGTCCTACCATCCAATGAAATAAACCTTTTTCACAAAAACTTAATACCTAATACATATAGTAGAACAGTTGTGCATGGTGGTGTTTTAGGTCCGGTACTAATAATTTATGATACGATGATCTCGATTTGTTTATAACTGTGTGTATTATATTATTTTTTCTTGACATTGGCAGTCAGTTACAAAATTAAAGCAACGTTTCAACATTATGACTTGGGGTGTGTGTACACCACAGATTTGTAAGACGAAGTCAGTGAAGAGCTTTATAAAAGCCCTCTTAAAACAGAGCCATCTAATGAACTTCCGATATACTCCTGAAATTACATTAGATAAATGCGAAGTTGCGCAGGATGCAAAAGAACAAACCGATGCCATTTATGGTGTATTGTAAGTATTCTAAATTTTATATAGTTTTCGAAGAACATCTAGCCAAAAAAGATAAGGTCCTCGCAATCAACTAATTTTCGATTTGATCATAAAGGTTTTATTTTTCATCAAAAACAAAAACTTGAGTCAGCAGATACGTAATTATCGAACTATATCTTTGGCAACAATTGTGGCTAAAATACTTGAAACCCTATTGAACACATTGGAGAGCTATTTAGAGCTGCACTGTACACAGTTTGAGTTCCGGTCTGAATTGTCTATTGAGAATGATATCCTAGCCCTAGCACACTGTTGAATATCACACAAAGTGCCGTACTCCCGTATACGCGTGTTTCTTAGATCTCTCTGGATAAGCTACGCCAGAAAAAGGTTCCAGCAGAGTTTTTGAAGATTTTCAGTACTGGTACAACAATCAGTATAGTAATTTGAGATGGGCCGATAAGTTTTCTGAAAGGTACAGGTGCAATGTGGGGTGAAATTACGTTACTAAAGCTTTTCAACCTGTACATAAATGACCTAATCGTTAAACTCAGCAGCAAAAAAGTTGGATGTCGTATCAACAACGTAAGTTTTAATAACATTAGCTACGCAGATGATATGGTGCTGTTGAGTCCCACGGTCAAGGCAACCGGAGAACTCATTAACATATGTGAGAAGTATGCGTTAAACCATGGCTTGAGTTACAATAGTAATAAAAGCGATTACGGCTGTCAGCTGTAAAAGCACTGGAAATGTACTTGCAATTAAATTGAATGACACTGAGTTAAAGTGTCGGTGAATATAAGTACCTAGGGCATTTTGTTACCGATGACCTAAACGACAATGTGGACATTGAAAGGGAACGTAGGGCGCTGGCAGTCCAATGCACGTAGTTAGCACGTAGGTTTGCACGGTGTGGTGAACAAGTAAAGATAACTTTATTTAAAGCATACTGTCTAGTTTTCTACATGTGCAGCCTGTAGTTGAAATATTCAAAAGGGATGGGGGCCGCCTTACGTGTCCAGTACAATAATGGCTTTAGGATCTTGTTGGGGCGACCCCAATATTGCAATGCATCAGGTATGTTTGCAAAGGCGCATACAGTAGACTATTACGCTATTATAAGAAACAAAACAGCCCCTTTGCTTGGCAGGGTGCGGGCTAGCTCCAACTCCATCATGAAAATAATTGAACTGAAAGATACAATTTATTTATTCTTAAGCCATATTACCGCCACTGTTTAGTTAATAAGACACACACACGCACACACACACACACACACACACACACACACACACACACACACACACACACACAAGTATTAGATTTAGGTAGCATAGATCATAAGTTTCGTATTTACTAACAAACTATATGGATTACTTGGTTATCTGAAATAAATTATTATTTTGGGTTATAAATAGAATATTCACATCTGGTTGGGCTGAATAAATATATAAAAGGAAATAATAAATATAAGTAAATTGCCAGGCAGACGTTGTTCTGCCCTTTTCGACGATCCTTTGTCATGTCCTATGAAAAATACTTAAATTAGCAAAAAAATGAGGGTCACTCATGGGCAAAAAAACTATCCTATCTCTAAGTTGGACCAAACTGCACACGATGTGCAAATTTGATTAAAATCGGTTGAGTAGTTTAGGAGTCCATCGCGGACAAACAACGTGACACGTAATTTATATATATTAAGATATATTTAATATACTAAAATAAATAAACAATACATGAATAAATAAAAGCCCAACCAAATGAAAGCCCTCGACAGGGTAGACCAAACGGCCGAGGGTTAGGGGGGAAAGAGAAAAAGACCGGCGTATGGTGCGGGCGGTATCGAGGAGCACCGCCTTTTGTATTTGAGCCTGGAGCGGTCCGTCACTGAGTACCAGTCACCTCAGATGACCGGAGAGGTTGACTGGGATTAGCCCGTTCACAGAGACGACTACAGGAATAAATTCAGTCGGCAGTCCACCCCACATGTCGGTCACATCATGAACCAGGTCCAGATATTTTGTTTGTTTACCTATTTCGGCGTTCACGAGGAGAATTTTTTTTTGGGGTATTTATATAGTTTTCTTATCTGGTTGGATTCCATAAATATATAATTGTGAATGAAAATGATAGATATACATAAGTATCAATAAAATAAAATAAATATATAAAAATAAATAAATAAATAAAAGCCCAACCAGATGGAAGCCCTCGGCAGGGGAGACCAAACGGCCGAGGGTTAGGGGGAAAAGGAAAAAACCGGCGGCCGATGCGGGCGGTATCGAGGAGCACTGCCTTCTGATGTTGAGCCCGGAGCGGTCCGATTTGTTATTATAATTATAATTATTATTATTTTGGGTTATTGATAGAGTAATCACATCTGGTTGGGCTGGATAAATACATAAAAGGAAAAAATAAATATACTTAAATATATATTTACTATACTAACATAAATAAATAAATAATACATAAATAAATAAAAGCCCAACCAGATGGAAGCCCTCGGCAGGGGAGACCAAACAGCCGAGGGTTAGGGGGAAAGGGAAAGAAACCGGCGGACGATGCGGGCGGTATCGAGGAGCACCGCCTTCTGCATTTGAGCCCGAAGCGGTACGTCACGGAGTCCCAGTCGCCTCAGATGGCCCGAGAGGTTGGCTGGGATTAACCCGTTTGCAGAAACTTACAGGAATTATTTCGGTCGGCAGACCACCCCACATGTCGGTCACCTCGTGAGCCAGGTCTAGATATTTTGATAGTTTATCTGTTTCGGCTTTCACGAGGTTCTCGTCATACGGAATAGTAATGTCGACCGACTGTATCCATCAGCACAATATCAGGCTTATTCGCAAGAATAGTCCTGTCTGTGATGATTGCCCGGTCCCAATAGAGCCTGGCGCGATCATTTTCGAGCACGGCTTCCGGCGAGTACTTTTAATACGGCAATTTCCGATCTACGAGACCGTATTTCAGAGCGAGCTCCTGGAGGAGAATTCTGGCTACTAGGTTGTGTCTGTGCAAGTACTCAGAGTTAGAAAGCGCCAAACAACCGGAGATGACATGCCTAAGTGACTCACCGGGATGGCGACAAGCTCGACAAATGTCGATGGTGCCATCCTTTAGGATGTATCTCCGATAGTTGTTGGTCTTTATAACCTGATCCTGTATTGCACAGACAAAACCCTCGGTTTCCCCGAAGAGGTCACCGAAACGTAGCCAGTTGAGGGAGGCGAATGTATCTACTAAGAGCTCATGTAGAGCCCTGTAGTACCTCCCGTGGAGCTCCTTCTCTTTCCATATGGTCTCTCGCGCAAATATTAAAAGTATTAAATTTATTAATAACCCGACCCCAGAATTTTGTGTTCTTATACCTGTGTCACTTTTACAACTGCAACATCTATTACATTGTTAATAGCTTCTGTACGTATTGATTTTAAACTCTTTGGATTCAGTTTATTTGTTAATATATACATAATCTACTTTCATTTATTATTTTCTTTCACTTTATTGAACCAACTTTCTATTGCTCTCTTTGCGATACAGTCAATAATTCACCTTGATACATAATTATGGTGGCATTGGTTTTGTTTTCCTGATAGCTACTAAATAGTTATTTTATTTTAGGTTTATAATATTATCAACAATAGTTCCAGCTTGTATTTGTACATTATACAATTCTACACGAAGTGAAGCAAATTCTCAGTCAAACGGTAAGTTTACACTAGTACTAGTAAATAACATAATATAGTATAGTAAGTTTAATATTATATAGAATACTAGCGTATCGCCCCGGTTTTGCACGGGTGATTTCTGGATCTCGACAACAGCGCCACCTACTGAATCCAATTATAAATATAAACCATCCAGGGACCTACTCAAAGACACGCAAAAATTTCATTAAATTGGTCGAGCCGTTTTTGAGTTTTGGTAAAACTAACGGAGGGCAATTGATTTTTATATATAGACTAGTAATTCGCTCTGGCTTTGCATGGGTGATTTCTGGATCTCGACAACAGAGCCACCTACTGGGTTCAATTGTTAATTTAAACCCTTAAATCCAATTGTTAATTTAAATCCAAGGACCCATTCAAACACACAATTTTTTTAATCTAAATCGGTCGAGCCGCTTATTGAGTTTTTGCTAAACTGACGGACTACAATTGATTTTTATGTATAGATTAGTGAACCGCCCCGACTTCACATGGGTGACTTCTGGATCTTGACCACAGAGCCACCTGGGTTCAATTGTTAATTTAAACCTTCCTGGGACCCATTCAAACACACAAAAAAATTCATCAAAAAAGACTAACGGATAGCCCAAGATATTTATATATAGACTAGTGATCCGCCCTAGCTTCGCACAGGTAATTTCGGGATATCGATAACAGCGCCACTTAAGACCGATTTACACTTCGACAAAGGGCAGTAGCATTCAAACAATGTCTTCGTGGCGAGTTTAGTTAAGGACATTAGTTCATAGAGTTCGTTGGAGTTTGACGTTTCAAGACTACAGAATTTTTTCGGTTTTCGTTTAAGATGGTTCTAGGATTACGTCAAGAATTATATGATCCAGTCAGAGAAGTATTAATGTTTGTTGTTAAAGAATTTTCATGAGTGCAGCATCGCGAGTAGGTTCAATTTTACAATTTGAACTTCTACTACTATGTAAACATTCGTGTTCTAAATACTCCTGTACGAATTTATACGTGGTATCTTCCGTCCATTTTATTATTAAAACTCAATATAAAACGTATAAATATTCAATAAACAGTATGGTACAAACTTTGTGGCGAGTTTCATCATAAAAGTACAATTGTTCGTTTTGGCGCGTAAACGTGGCGTCCTGTCAACTTATGCACTGAACTAAACTCGCTCCTTTACGCGAACGGCGAGTTTAGTTGCTGGTGGCGGGAGACGCGCGGGAGGGCAGCACTTCGCACTTAACTCGCCGAAAAATAGCTCCGTTAGTTCCGTAGCAGCCGGCTATCCCGTTCAACTTAATCGTTAACTTGCTACTTAACTCGCTTATTGCCGTTCAAACGAGGTTCAAACTTAACTCGCCAGGTTCGCAAGTTAACTCGCTACTGTACTAGTCGAAGTGTAAATCGGTCTTTACCGTATTCAATTACAAATATAAACCATCCAGGGACCTATTTAAACACAATTTTTTTTTATCAAATTCGGTCGAGCCGCTTTTTGAGTTTTAGCGAGACTAACGGACAGCTATTGATTTTTATATATAGACTAGTGATTTGTTCCGGCGTCGCACGGGCAATTTCTGGATCTTGACGACAGAGCCCCCTACCGGGCCCAGTTGTGATTTTAAGCCATCCAGGGACCCAATCAAACACACACAAGAAATATCATCAAAATCGGTCGAGCGGTTTTTGACTGTTAACGAGCCTAATGGGCAGCTATTGATATTAGGTTTTAGGTTTATATTATTTATTTCTCAAAAGATCGCTTCGCTTACGAGAAATAAAAAAATTTACAAACAATAATAAAGGAATCCATTACAAGCATACAGAATATTAACTATAGATGTGGGTAAAACGTAAGCAATTAAAAGAACAGTAAACATTTAGACGGAAGAATTAATGCAACCGAAACAGAAATAAGGGTGCGTACGTTTAGTAGTTTAAACTAAGTTAGATTTAATTTTAGCTTGCATTTTTTTTGGTTAATTTTCCAAAATGCGGCGTTTCAATAAGTTTTTAAATAAAGATAACGTTTTTGATTCTTTTATATTTTAGGTAAAGCGTTATACAGTTTTGCACCGTCAAACATTATATTTTTCTTACCATACTCTGTTCTAACTTTTTGTATGTATATATCATGGGCGCGTCTAAGGTTACGATTGTGAAAATCTATATTTTTTTAAAACAATATTTGCGAATGAATGTCGTTTTTAAGTATTTTACGTATCAATATGCAAGTGTTATATAGATAGATATATTTGTGATATATTTAATAATTTGGTTTCTTTATATATAATATTAGACGGTGTCAAATATTTATAATGAAAAAAGTACCTTGATTAATTTGTTTTGGGTAGTTTGCAGTCTACGTAAATTTGTTTTGTGTGCTGTTCCCCATACCTCGATTAAATAGTCAATATGTGATTTGACAAGTGTATTGTATAAAATATTCGAACATTCAGTGGGAGACATCCTACTATATTTCGCACACTTCCTAAAAAAGAAGACAATTTAGAATTTATTTTCTGAATGTGTGGCTTCCACGTCAACCTGTTATCTAATATAAGTCCTAGGTATTTTTCCTTACTTGCTTTATTTATATGTGCACCATTTATTGTGAGAGGCGAAAAGTCTGGTATCTTTTTGTTTTTTTGCAGAAAAGATGACATAGTTAGTTTTTGATATTTATATATAGACTAGTGATCCGTCCCCGCTTTGCATAGGGCAATTTCTGGATTTCGACAACAGAGCCACCTACAGGGTCCAATTGTGAGTTTAAACCATCCAGAGACCCATTCAAACACACACACAAAATTCATCATAATCGGTCGAGTCGTTTTTTAATTTTTTCGAGACTAATGGACAGCAATTGCTTTGTATATACAGAGAGAAGTATACTAGTAAATATAGTATTTTCTACCCCTATCAATTAGCATCCATTGCAGCATATAAAAGTCCATAGGCCACAACTGCACAAAAGGAGTGTTTTGTGAAAGCATTCATTGCTTTGTGGCCGGGAGTAGGTGCCCACGCACTGGTATACCAAACTCCGACACCTAACGGTGCCAAAGTCGGGGCTTAGGCTTAACGCCTTTCGAGATGATGCAGACTGACTAGCGGGTCTGCCTTTGAATAGCTCAGCTGCACCATTACGTCGTGCGTGTAGCAGGGCCTGTGAGTACGCCGAGGGGTCGGACTTTTCTTCCGTAATCTGAGTAATCTGTGAAGCGTAAGTCCACTGACGAGCAGTACCTGCCTTTCCTGTCCTGTACGATTTCCATCCTTGGGCGGTTCACCACGGTCGGCTCCGTCTCAAGAGTGATAGGTGTTAGGGAGTGTTAGGATTTGTTGGGGAAGTAGGATTAGGGAAAGTGTAACTAACAGTCACCTTAATTAGCATCCATTGCAGCACATAAAAGTCCATAGGCCACAACTGCACATGCCATGCTAAACATAGGCCTCCTCCATAAATTGCCTCATAAGCAGGCTTCGGATATAGTTGGCACGCTTCGCAGTCGGGTTGGCAACCACAGTTTTGTTAATTTCTTGTTCTGTTTCACAGGAGAAACCTGTTTACTATAGTAAATTAAAAATAACATTGAAACAAAATACACATCCTTTCCCATCCCAGTTTACTGCACATCTGATTTTTTTATAGGATAAGGGTGACAAGTGAACACACAGTCCACCTGATGGTTGCGGCCTAGAACACGGTCCTTGCCCGGTTGAGCCCATTCGTGCTACAACTATACAAATAATATAGCTACAGCATGGCTCTACCTCGTAACAATATATATATATATATATATATATATATATATATATATATATATATATATATATATATATACATATTTATATATATATAGTACCCGGATGAACATTTGGTTTTTGTTTAAGTTACTTATATACAAATTACATGAAAGTTATTTATTTCGTATTTTTAAAAAAATACTAAAAAAGGGCTCGAAATAATAGATTTTCTCACAAAGGAAGGGAGCTTGAAAAAAAAAAGGAAAAAAAGTCGGACCCAAGACGGAACACGAACCACGGAACTTCGAGATATCACGCTCGAACAACATCCCATCTGAGCTATTACGATTGTTAGTAACCTGTCAAAATTTACCTTCTTATATTGTAGCAGATTTTTATTGCCTGAAAACACGGACAAAAGGACATTTTCTAAAAATAAATCCTAGCTAGATCGATTTATTGCCCCCCGAAATTCCCTGGACACTAAATTTTATGAAAATCGTTGGAGCTGTTTCCGAAATCCTGATTATATATATATATATATATATATATATATATATATATATATATATATATATATATATGATCCAAAAGGAACTACAATCTTGTTATTTTACAAAAAGTGTTGATAAAAATGAGGCGCGTACTAAATATTTGTTCCTTTTAATTTTTACAGCAAATCGTATAATTCAATGTTTTTGTCTCAAGAGAAACTTTAAAGATTTACTGGACAGACATAAAAATGATATCGAAATTCTACACGGAATGAGATTTATTTCGTGTTCTATTATCGTGTACGCGCACGTTATCATAATGTTTTTAATAGTATCATCTACTGGAAATGGCTTGGATTTTGAAGAGGTATTTAAAATTTTTATCATATTTAGTAGGCCTTTTCAGCTATACCCAGCAGACTGGTTAGGTACCATCTTCGTACCGACAATAACTTGATTTTAAAGATTAATAAAACAAAATGTATTAAATTTACCACACCTAATGTGAAACTAGTGAATATTTACTTTCAAATGAGCCTTTTTGAATTCACTGTTTTTCTCGGAACTCATTGACTCTAAGCTTCAATGGGGCCCTGATATGTCTAAACTAGCTAGAAAACTAAGTTCTGCAGCATATGCTGTAATAAGATTAGAGGCCTTGCATGTGTTGAAACAGGTACATTAGTTTATTTAAAATATTTTCGTAGTATAATGTCATATATAATCTTGCTATAGGGTAAATAAAAAAAATATTAGGTAAAAACTATTTACTAAAGGTTATTACTTAATATAGCACTAAAGAGTATATGATTAGTAATAACCCCTGGGAATAAGGTGATAACTATCATGCTGTTTCTAAATGTTTTCATAATAATTAAATAAAATAGTATATTGTAAATTGATTTTATTTAATAAAAATTGACCTGGGGTTATTGCTGGATATTTACAGGTCAGAGGTTTTTCCGAACCAGTGGTAAAATTAAAATAAATTTGATAAATCCAAATGTACCTTAAGCGCTCATGTTATACGTAAAAAGTTAAAGTTTGAAAGTAGTTTAAATACACACAAGTTTTCACTAATAACCTAGCTTGCTAGCTTGCTTACATAACAATTATGTTAGTATGGCCTACGTATAATTGTTCCGGGTGTGGATATTTGTCCTTGTGAAATTTATGTAAAAACTGCTCTCACGGTACGGTAGAAAATCCTAGTATAATATAGGTAACAGAGCTAACGTTTTTATAAAGATTAAAGATTAGTACTGTATATTTAACTATATTGTCTCAGCTTGGTCAGTGCTTCTGCTACTAAACGACACCGATCATGACTTACATTAAATTACCGGTATTTTTCAGCCTATTAAAACAGTGCTGAACATCGTCCTCTCCCATAGATTGCCTGAGGCAACTACGGTTATCATGTGAGTTATGGGGATAATTACCGTAGTTGCTACGTTTGGCAGGCAGGTTGGCATCAGCACTTTCTATTGCATGCCTTAAGCGCAAAGAACGTAGGTACGTTCTACTAGCGCCTAAAAGTCAAGATTCCAACGTTTTGTCGCATGAAATCGTATCTAACAATCATATTGAACATAGAAGTAATATAAAAAGCACATTGTCGGAAGGATAAATGATTGTTGGACTTTTTTTTAATCTATTGTTTGCTATTTTTATAATAAAAAATAAATGTTTTCTATGGCTTATGGTGTAGATTTATCAAGTCCGCATGGAAGGGTAAGCACGATAACTATTGTAAAATATCAATTCTTCAACTCAATCTATTTTTATTCTCTTCATCTATCGTGTGGGAAGCTGTGAAATGTAAATGGCTGTTTAATTTTGTTTTGAATTAATTATTTTGCAGCATTGGGTAGAAACCCGTAATGTTAGATATAAGTTGGATGTAAATAAATAAAATAAAAATTTTGACTGAGAAATTTCGAAATTTTCGGTATTTGAGCAGCCTTGTAATAATATTTTTTACTAAATAAAGATACGCCGTCGTGAGTTTGTTACTGTATCGTTTGTTTACAGCGGCTTGTGATGAAAAATATCGATCGCTCTAGAAATACAAAATATTCCAAAAACCAAATTTGATACACATACTTGTATAATGTTCGCTAAAAGTACGTAGGATTTATAAATAAATAAACTTATACGCCTTGGACTTTATGGAGTGACCTGAAGTTGTACTTCGGTATCCGCTACTGGAACTCCTCAAAGAGTAGAACTAGGTTTGCCGAGTTTTACTTCATTTTGCTAGTTATGATGAGATCTTACCTCATCACAATTAACAAAACTTTTTGAAAAAGAAATAAAGATGAGAAAAAAATACGAACCAGGTAAAAAATATTAGTTTCTACGATAATTCCTGAGTACGAATACCTTAAAATTAAAGAAATGTTAAAGTTGATTTCTGATATTTTTAAGATAACTCCGTTAAAAGCTTTTTCAATTAACAATAATAATAAAAAAATGAATCTCAATAATAATAATATTAAATGAAAAAAAAAATCTACTTTTGATTGAGAATTTTATTCTTGCAGGATCTTCATTATTCCGGGTTGTTAAAACTGAGTTCCGTAATAGTAGTTGATACATTCTTTTTGATGTCTGGTCTTTTATTGATAAGGAGTATTAAGGGAAAGATTACTCTTGGTGGTCTTGGAAAAGTGATAATAAAACGATATTTCAGGTGAGAAATATTAGGACTAAAAATTGGAAACCGTTGAGGGATAACTCTATAATATGTAACTACATGTATGGTAACGCCTAACCACAGATAATCCTATAATATCCCAGTGTTACATAGATTCCAATGCTACTGTAGCATGTAGTGATGGTGTAAGTATATCTACTAATCGTCCCATGGGTTATGTAAGAGTCGACAGAGAGAAACTGAAACAGGAGATGAGCAGCAGCATCTTCTTAATAACAACTCAAAAGAATAAAAACTGTGGTTGTCTATCCAACTGTCAAGCGTGGCAAATATGGTACAATCCTCACAAAGCAATCTTTGGGTAAGGTTCTGCAGTAGACTTATATAGCCTGTTAAGAACAATGCTACTGAAGCCACTAATATCAAGGGGCTGGCTTAACCTGGGTGCTAGGTTAGCTAGCTTCTAGTTTTTATCTAGAAGTCTGTCTGCGTAGTCTTTTTTTATAGAATAAGGGTAACAAACGAGCACACAGTAAACCTGCTGTGCCCATAGACATATACATCTATACTCGATTAAGAATCAAAGTGCAGATGAGTTGTCACACCTGAGGACTAAGATGTAATACCTCGTTTCCACTAAAAAAGGGTCTCCAGATCTCTACATCCACCATACGTAACACAGCAGCATTAAGCTGCTATTTTACGCTGGTATTCGTGATGGTGAATCGTGAGATCGTGGTTCTTCTCCGGTCGAGCCAACCCATTCGTACTACAACCATAATATAGCTGCAGCGTGGCTCTACCACGTAAATAAGGTTCCAAACTCTTACCTATTTTAGCAGTACATTACTGGCTTCTTCTCTAAAGGGTATAGAGAACCGGTATAATAACAGGTTGTGATGTATTCCATATAAGTTCTCAGATGAGACAACGCATCGTTAGCCTTTTTGCGTCAATTAAAAATCAGGTGGTTACTATTCACATCATGTAGGTGCTTCGCGATCCACTACTGTGCGATTCACTAGGAGTTTTCTTTCTCGCACGACTACTTTAGTGGAATCGTCAACCACCAGCAATTTATCCGCACCGATAAGACGCAGGGACCTTTAAGAAAAGAGCTTACTTTTTTACTTATTGACCACAATCCCACCTAGTGATAAGTGATGATGTAGCCCAAGATAGTAAATCGCACTATCTAAACGTAATAAAAGTATATTCACTATTGCCCTGAAGACGCCCAGATTGTATTCGGACGAAAAGATAGACATTGGTAAATTATTCCACTCCTTTCATGTACGCATTGCAAAAGACTTTGTTTCTAATGCGTGGAATAACGACAACAAAGCAATAAAGACCCGCCGACCGCCTGGGTTTTCGATGATGGAACAGAGAGGGAGAAATTAAAACACGTAAGTCTTGCACACACTTACCTAAATGAAATATATAAAAGGTGGACTTTAAGATCATTTGCCACTTCAATTTTAATAAAAACTAACCGGGGTGGAAAGAGGTCTGGCACAGAACCATTAGCTTTACGTGTTTTATGAGGTACACCCCCATGCCTCTGAGAACTTTTAACAGAAATATCTAATAATTGATTTTTCTCGACCCAGGATTGCAACCCGGGATCACATGATCAGCATTAACGCTTATGACCACTAGACCAACTAAGTAGTCACAGATAAATTTTAATTTGTCTCCGAATAAGTAAACTAGTTGCATTATTATTTTAGGCTCATCTGGTGGTACATGGCAGGTTTGCTTTTAGTCTTCTTCATTTCGCCTCGCACCAGTTGCGGTCCGTTGTGTTCCAAATTTGCAGAAATAGAGCGAGATGCCTGTATGAAGACGTGGTGGTTGGGAATGCTGATGGTGGGAAATTATATTGACACATCTAACTTGGTAAGTGCAATACTTAATAATTGACCTAGTGATCTCTAAGTTCGTTTTATTTATTTATTTATTTACTTATTGTGGGCAAAACATATACTCTTTTTCTACTGTCACTAAGGAAGATGTTTTAGAAGTATTAAGCAAACTTAAGTAAAAGACAGTAGGTCATAACAATATAGGATGCATCATGATTTCGTATGTTTCAGAACGTATTGTTACGAGCTTGAGGTTCGTGACAATAAAAACTGCCGATTGAATTACCAAAATTTACACTTTATTTCGCTTCGAATCTTCGCTTGTCTCGCCAAATTCAATACTGCCCCGATCGTGGCATGCAGCGGGTTTAAATACACGTTTACACCGAAACATCCAGAATATTCCCGTAGATACGGGCGCTGACCGACCAGACGCCGAAAGTTCGAGTGGGGGGGCTTCTAGAAAGCTTAGTTCTTCAATTCGATACTAGATGGCGCTGTTGGTTGAAGGATTAGTCATGACATTTTCTGGAAAGCTCTCCTCGCTCTGTTACCCGACACTAGATGGCGCTAGTGCCAGATACCATTCGTCAACTTAGGCGCGCGACAGTATTTTACCAATTTTAACCTTCATTATAAAACGCTCATTGCTTTCTGGCGAGTTTTCTTTATGGTGGCAGAAGGTCTTTGTTCTCTCTCTCCCAAAAATATTTATGCCCAATGCCATCAACTACTTCCGGCCTATCTCGATTTGGTCGTTTTTATCAAAAGTTTTAGAACCTATGGCGTACAAACTAACTTAACTAAAAGCAACTTATTAAATCAACTCAAATCACGATTTTGACCTGGATATAACACCACATTGGCGCTTTTAATAATAACGGAGGATGTGCGTGATAATATGGAATTTGGAAAGTTGACGGTGTTAGACTTAATCGATTTTCTAACGCCTTTAATCCCGTCGACCATGTTATTCTTATTGCCTCCTCCTGTCCTACATTTCAGGTTTTTCCTTATCAACACGGAATTGGTTATTCTTCTATCTTCGTGGTCACCAGCAGGCGGTCCGTGTCAACGGTATGGTTTCCGATTAGTGTGACTTAGCCACGGGTGGTCCACAACGCGGAATTCTCGCTCCATTACTATTAGCTACATTTATTAATATAATTACTTGCAAGTTTCGTGCCTCCTACCTTATGTATGCCGACTTACAACTGTAAGCTCATGCCAATGTTACTAAGCGTTATTAACTGTGACCTTAGTTGGATTCTTATTTGGTCACGGAGGTAAGGGGTCACTGTTAATTCTAGCAAAAAAAGACTATAGCTTGGGTCTTAGGCAGGCAGTTAAAGTCAATAAGTTAAACTTTGTCACACATCATTAGATCCACTTACTTATAATGGCGAGTTAATTCGGAATATCACTATAATAATAATAATAATTTATTTATTTCTCACCACAAACGAATGTAAGATATATTATTGTTACATCTCTATTTTACTCGTGTTTAAGGACTTAGGATTACCCTTGTATTGTTCTTTTACTTGGCGCAGTTATGTTGAGGAAGGTAGCCGTAAAGGTTGTGCTACTTTGAGACGATTGTACAGATTTAAAAATATTTTACCGTCTTGTACGACGATACTTTTAATTCAATCTCTTATTCTTCATATGATTGGTTATGCCTATGTGTGCTACCCGGTTGTAGAGAATTACTTAGTCAATAAATTGGATCGCCTTCTTAACAAGTGCATTCCGTTTCGTTTTCGGTCTTTTAAAGTATGACCACGTCTCTTTCTATCGCTCTTAACTTAAATGGTTTAATATTCCACGATGCAGGAATCTACATGAAATGTAAGTTTCAATATCTGGGGTTTTCCCACGATTGCTATCTTCGGTCGCATAACAATCTCGTACTGTAAATTCCCTCTCACGGTACTGGTTTTCTTTCAAACTCTTTCGCTATTACAGCTATACGACTCTGGAATACGCTTCCCTTATCAATAAGGAAATCCTTTAACACATTAATTTCTAAAACAAAAGTACAGACACACACACACACACACACACACACATATATATTATATAAATTCAAAATAAATAAATATATATGGTACATATATAATCTACTAAATCCCTATATATTTTTAAATGAGTATGATCTATATCTATACATGTGTGCGTGTGCGTGTGTGTGTGCGTGCGTGTGTGTGTGTGTGTGTGTGTGTGTGTGTGTGTGTGTGTATTTGAATTTTTATGAATTTTATTTTTTTTCCCTAGCCCACTGCAGTACATATTTCTTCAACTAACTTTCCGGTGGGCTGGTAAAAAAATGCTATATGGCATTAAGTCCGCCGTTTGTATCTTTAGTACAAATAAGTGTATAAATAAATAAAAAATAAAATACCAAGACGGGTATTAGAAGCACGTTAACGGTAATGGAAAAGATCAATTTCTGCAGTGAACAACCAAGCTGATAAAGAAAAAGTACTAGGAGAGTATAACTCAAGAGACTAAAAGCACAATTATTCAATAAAGTGTAGATTCAAGAAAGTGCAACTAAAACATATATGAACTATGTTATATGGCACTTGTAGTGGTGGTGTAAGAATATTCATCCATATAGTGACGTGGGTGTCGTAAGACGCGACAGGGGGATACGACGCAGGAGATGGGCATCAGCATCTTTCTAATAACAACTAAAAATAAAGGATTGCGGTTGTTAACTCACCGGTCTAGTGTACTGAATAGACTCCCCTAAGAGGCAATCTATGGGGGAGGCTTATTTTAATTTGTGGACATTTGATAGTCGGCAATAGTTTATCTTTTTCGTTTAAGTAATCATGTCGAGGAAATTGTTTAAATATTATATGCATTTGAAATATTATATTAATATTTATTTCGCAGTGCCTTCTCCACACTTGGTATATTTTCTGTGACTTCCATTTGACTGTCGCCACTGTATTGATGTGTTGGGTATACCAAAGACAACGTCGTACTGGAATAATCTGCTTTACTATACTCGCCATTCTAAGTGTGATACTGCCCGGCCTGGATGCGTACTATGGTCCAGAAGTTGATGAATATCCACTAAATTTCGAGTAAGTTCTGAAGCATATATTTTTGTTTGGTTAGCCGACATCAAAAAAATACGAGGTTCTTACTTCGAACATATGATCTTTTTGTATATGTACATAAATTACGCCAAATATTCGTAATTTCGATTTTAAATAGTGAAGAAAATTTTAATTATGCTTAAATTTATTTATTTAGTTATGTTTTAAAGGTGGCGTGTGGAACTTATTGGTTAAAAATTCTACCTACGTAACTATTTAGAAGACATTTATTTTGTTGAGCTTGTGAAAGGACGCTAATTCAACACGACAGGAGAGAAATCAGGCGAAGGACCTAAAGCATTACGTGCTTTCCAAGGCAAGGGCCCCCTGTGAAAATATACAGCGATCTTTTCATCCCCTCCCCCCTCAACTCAAGGCTGCAACTCAGAATTCCTTGACAGAAAAACCCAATAACTGATTTTGGCTCGACCCAGAATTCGTAATTGGGACCGCATGCTTAGCAACTGCTTTTTCTATCACTAGATCAACGAGGCCACACATCCTTTTAATGACAGTCGTAAGTAGGTTGGTTTGTTTATGCGCAGAAGGATCCAAAAACTTTCCGATTACACCAGCCAACTGTAGAAGAGAAAGAGCGAACTAAAGACCGAATGTGGTTGTTCCCCAATCGTTTCCGGGATACCTCAGATTGTGATTGGGGTTGAGAGGTTATATGGGCAGCTCTGCACGACAATATTGGAGACTCACGCAAGTGTGAGTAGCGAAACATGATTATCCGACATTACACCGATAATATCCCGTCAATCTAAGCGAGATTGGAATGGATGTTCAGCACCTTAAAAACGGCACGGCCTCGGTCCTGGATAGAATTACAGAGGATATCCTAAAAGCGGGTAAACAACCAGAACTTGAATCCATTTAGAAGCTCTTTCATTCTGTCCTCTATTGTTGGACTACCCCGGAGGTATGCAGTAGAAGTGCAGTGATTATGTTATTCAAAGAAGCAACAACGCTTTGTTGAAGAACTACAAATCGGTTCACCTTTTGAGCTGCGTCTATCTGCTGTTTTAGAGAGTCGTTACGAATCATCTTGCACGCAGACTGAACAACTTCCAGCCTCCCGAACAAGCTGGTTTCCGAAAAAGTTCTAGCACCATAGACCACATACATACAGTACGTACGGTAGACCGAAGATTACAATACTTCAATTTGTCTGGCGTACGTGGACTATACAAGAGTCGTGGTTGCTCAGATGGTTAGTGCTTGCTGTAAAGTTCACAGTAAGCGAGCAACACGAGTTCGATCCCCGCCGGCACCAATGAAATTGTTAATTGCAATTTTAAGTGCTTATTTACCACGTGCTTGACGGTGATGGAAAACATCGTGAGGAAACCTGCATGTCTGAGAAATAAGAAAAAAAATACTTCGAAGACATCTGAAGTTCACCAATACGCGTCGGGGCAGCCGGGTTTCGGGCAAATTTCTATGCCCGAAACCCCCCTCAAAATAAGAGGAGGCCTGTGCCCAACAGTGGGGCGTATATGGGCTGTAACTTTAACTTTAACGTGAACTATGAGAAAACCTTTGATTCCTTTGAAATTTTGATAGTGCTGCAGTCCCTTTAGCGGTGCTAAGTTGACTGTCGGTATATCAAAGTGTTATCGGTATATCAAAGTAAGACAGGATGACGTTATATCTCGGGAAGTCTTAACCGCGTGGAGGAACATATAGCTGAAGTGACGTGAAGCACCCATGCTCTGGGAAGTCTGCAGTCTGCGAACATGTTCAAGATCGTCCCTACTATTACATTAGATTTGATAAACCACAAATCCTCGCAAAAGAACACCGATTACTACCAAGGATGATACGCGAGGCTAATGAAATTAAAAAATTGAGAAGATGGATGGGTACCGCCATCTGCTTGGGATCCTATAATTAACAAAATTAAACCCAAATCCAAGCATACTACTGCAAGACTTCATGATACAATAAGCTCGTTTTGCGTAAATCGGACCAAAAATTAATATTCAAAAACTGAAGGTAGCTGGACTAACTATGGGACCATGGGTGCTGTAACGCACCCAAAACGTCGGGGTAGTAAAAATAAATTAAAGTACTAATTAAACGCGATAAAATCCGTAACTAATAGTTTTATTCAATGTGTAGTGTTCACGTAAATTTAAGAAATCATTATACATTGGAAGATGTTTACAAGATACTGGACTGGAAAGGATACGGTATTAACATCAACGGCGAGTAAATCACTCACCTTCGATTTGCCGAGGATATAGTCCTTATGACAGAATCGTTGGAGGATCTAAGCAATATGCTTAATGACCTAAATAGTGCCTGATTGATCTTAAAATTAATATTGATAAAGCAAAGATTATGTGTAACGTCCATGTCACACCTATGCCGTTAGTTGTTGGGATTGAGAGTACTAAGCTTTATTGACGAGTATGTTTACCCGGGTAAATAGTCCGACTAAGTAAGTCCAACTTGGAGCAAGAGGTCAATCAACGGAACTAACTTGATTGGGCAGCGTTCGGGAAATTACGACAAGGATATAACCTCTATACCTCAAAACAGTGCAACCAGTGAATTGTCTCACCTCAAAACAGTGTTGACAGTTATAAATTATGGATCTGAGACGTGGTCCTTCACTGACAGGGCTTTACTCGGGGTTTCTCTGCATGATAAATAGAAAGGAGGATATCCGCAGTAGAACCAGAGTAACTGACAAAGGGCAATAGATTAGTCAACTGAAGTGGCAATGGGATGGCCATGTACCTCGAATAACCGATAACTATTGTGGAAGCAAGATTCACGAGTAGCAGCCTCGTACCGGTAGACGAAGTGTAGAGCAGCCCCTACTAGATGGAGTGACGACCTGGTAAGACATATTGGAAGTCGATGGATGCAGGTGGCTAAGGACCGTGTTTGTGCATTCCTTGGGGGAGATTTATGTTCAGCAGTGGACTTGTGAAGGGGTTTAATGAACTTGACGAAGTAGGTTTGTTACCAACTCAGGGAAACTTCAAGCGTAGGTATAAAGTCTCTCTACCCTCTTACAATATATTAAAATTTAGCTCTCTCTCTCTCTATGTATTTATCTCACTCCATCTCTCTTTATAACCTTATTGGTGAGCAATATAGCAGCGTCCAAACTACTGAAGTGAACTTGTTAATTTTAATAGGCTTTCTTTAAGTAGAGAGCAAAACTACTGTGCTGCCACATCTCAATTTTATAAATCTTAATTCTAAATGAATGATTAGAAAAGTAACTAAGAGGGTAATTGAATATTTCAGACTTCTTAAAGAATTAAGAGACAGCCATTCTTCTTCACCGATAATAACAAGTTACATTAGAAGTCATCTCAGGGCCAGCCCGTTTTTCATGGGCTTGATGATGGGTTACATTATGACCATATATGAACCAAAGTCATTACGAAGAACAATTACAAAGGTAATTCGTGGTTAACATTTTTTAATAAAACAAGAACAACAAATGGTACACAGATATGCGAACTGTACACTATACACGTACATATACTATGGTAGAGTCACGCTACAGCTATATTATGGTTGTAGCACGAATGGGTCTGCTCAACCAGGATAAGATCACGGTCTCACGGAATACCAGCATAAAATTGAATCCAAATGTCTGTGTGTTTCGTATGATGAGGGTAGAGAAGTTTTTTCTGGAAAAAAGACATTCCATCTTAGTCCTTAGGGGAAACAACGTATCTGCATTTCGATTCTTAATCGAGAATAAATGTATATGCCTATAAGTCACAGCATTCTCTTATCATCAGATGGACTGTGTGCTTATTTATCACCCATATTCTATAAAATAAAATTTAAACACTCCATCACGTACACACGGTAAGTTTCGTAGCTCATAGACATCTTAACGGGAAATTTGGCGACGTCTAGCACGTTTGGCATTGCCCCCCAGCCATTAGTATAGTAAACACAGAATAGTAGAGTCACTCTCGCGCCGCGGGAGACTTAAATGCCTACTGTTGTAGGATTGTCGCTGTCTTTTTGTTTGCACTCGCTCTTCCAAAAAAAAAAAAAACTATTGCTTGCCAAGGTTTATGAAGGAACCTGCTTGAGCACATTAGGAGAAATTAAATTGGAGCGGATTAACTAAGTATATCAGTGAAAAAGGCACAGGGGGTCAGTCCTTTGAGGCGGCGCTCTTTAGAAAGGAGTAAGCTCAAATAAAATTGAAGTGTATGTCTGTAATATTGATAGAATTCACTCAATAAAACACCAAAATAAAAAATTTATAAACAAACATTTTTCAATGTTTTTTTTTAATGTTTTTTTTTGTGTAGATTGTTAAAAAAAATTTAACACATAAGTCTCATTTAGTTTTATAAGTAGTTATAATATTTACAAACATAATACATATAGTGTCAGCTCAGATTTAATGTTGAAAATTAATTTGTTCTGATGTGATATGTTAACTAATGTACTTATGTGGTATGTAGTAATATATAACCTATTGATAAAAAGCTAATTTACTTAAACAAACTTATATATTAAAAAATAAAAATATAAATTTCCTCGCAACCTTCCGCTAAACAAATACAATGATGTGTCTTACCTGGATTGAAGAGCACCTCCCGCTCTCCCTCAAGTGCATGCCCGACCTCCGTCACCACTAGTCCCAGCACCACTACTCCCAACACCACTATTCCAGGCAACACACACCATCGACGATAATACGACACGTGTTTCGCCTCTACACGAGGCATCTTCAGGTAATGTAGACTCTACGGCGGCTGACCGCTAATTAGCGGGTGCCGGAGGTGCTCTTCAATCCAGGTAAGACCCACATCATTGTATTTGTTTAGCGGAAGGTTGCGAGGAAATTCATATTTTTATTTTTTATTATAATGGATTTCCGCAAAGTAACGCCTGATTCTATCAAACTTATATATTAATATGTTTTACAAAAAAAAAAACCATGCCACTAGGCCTCCATCTAAGATAGCATTCATCACTATAGAAATAAAATTGACTAGATATAACGCTACCACCATAATTTATTTATTGATTGGAGGATATTGTAATTTCTAGAAACACCTCACGACTGCCATACTCGTATTTGTAGCAGTAGCAACGTTCTTCCTTATTGCATGCAGTTACATGGATAGCGTTTTCAGGAACGCCGTAGTTATGGCAATTCATAGACCTATATGGGGTGCTTTTATATGTACTGTGATTGTTATATGTGAATACGGGACTTTTCGTAAGTATTTTTTATGAATTTTAGTCTTATTGTGTAAAGTTTTGTATATCCTCTGCTTGGGATCATATAATTAATTAATTTTAATCCCAACCCCAGCTAACATCTGTTTGCGTTTTAAATACTATAAGACCATACTGCATTATCATCATTATCATCATTACAGCCCTTCACAAGTCCACTACTGAACATAGACCTCCCTCAAGGAACCCCACAAAGTACGGTCCTGAGTTAAGTGTATCCATCGACTTCCTGCAGGTTACCAGGTCGTAACTCCAGGGGGAAGGCTTTTCCCCATCGGTTGTCGGTTCTTCGAGCTATATGGTCGGCCCATTGCCACTTCAGCGTACAAATCCGTTGAAATATGTCGGTAACTCTGGTTCTAATGCGGATATCCCCGTTTTTAAGTCTATCGCGCAGCGAAACCACGAGCGTAGACCCCTTGATAGCTCGCTGAGTGACCTTGAGCTTTCTGCTGACCAACAGCGAAGGACTACGTCCCAGATTCATAGGTCATCACTGGCAACTGCGTAGATTGGATTAAATACATTAATAATTTTAATCTGAAGGTAGCTGTGGTTAACTATGATATGGGACGTCGAACACCGTTTCCCCCCGTGACTATGGGTACTGTGATGTGCTCTAAATGTCGGGAATATAAAATTTAGTTCATATAAGCAATAACATCCTTAATTTTTTTATTTAAATGTGTAGAGTTCGTGTAAAAACAACAAATCATAATGTTTTTATAAGGTGTGGTGAATCCACGCTGTATAATGTGTCTAAAACTGAATTTCGATAACTATTAGAGTGCACGAGTGTGTGCGCAAGCACAAGTTTTCTCTCTATTCCTTCACCATCCTATGATGCATCTGACAAGGCCAGAAAAGGTGGAGGACAGGCTTTATGTGCTTTCCGATGTACGGGGGTGAAACACCGTCAAGTTATTTACTCCGAGCTGTTATTAAGAATTTCTGGAGAAAAAAAACCCAACTACAGATTTGGCTTGACCCGGGAGTACATGCGAAGTAGTTGCGCATTCACCCAGTAGACCAAAGAGGCAGTCAACTCTAAAGGTCATCTTGACTGGAGAAGAGCTGTTCTTTAATATACCGTTTCCGTTACAGCCGTTCAACTTCGGCCTCTCCCATAGATTGCCTCATAAGGGTGACATTTGCTACAGTTGCCACGCTTGGCAAGCGGCTTGGCAGCCGCAGGATTTTATTTTTAGCCGATATTAGGAAAACGCTGCTGCCCATCTCCTGATTCGTTTCCCTCTGTCCTCTCTTATGACACAGGATGATATGAGGTAGTAGATATTAATGCTGGGTAAATGATAATATGATTGTATTTAATTTAGTTTCCGTATGCCAATTGCGGTACAACATGTTGGTTCCACACATTGAATATCTTTTATACCAATTTTTTTTTAATAGCGTTGGGTGACAAATGAGCACACACGTTGTAGCACGAATGGGTCGGCTCGACCGGGGAAGGACCACGCTCTCACATAATAACAGCGTAAAATAGCACCTTAACGCTACTGTATTTCGTATGGTGAGTGTAGAGAACCGGAGACCCTTTTTACTAGAAAGAAGTCATTCCATCTAAGTAATCACGGGTGATAACGTATCTGCATTTTGATTCTTAATCAAGGATAGATGTAGATGTCTGTGGGCCACAGCAACCACTTACCATCAGGTGGACTGTGTGCTCGTTTGTCACCCTTATATCATAAAAAGGGCGGGTTAGCAACCGCATGTTTTTATTGTTTGAAATGGTTATTGAGAAGATGCTGCTGCCTATAACCTGTTTTAATTTTCCTCTGTCGTCCCTTACGGCACCTTCGAAACGTATTTTTGATATTTTTTAGATAATTTATAATTTTTAATCTTTTTTAGCCATCGTCAAGGATTTCCTTTCCTGGTCCGGTTTTGTACCTCTTAGCAAGCTGACATATGGAATCTACATGATACATTCTACAACTATTATGTATAATATGATAACAACCAGAAGTCCTCTCTATTACAACAGTTATATTGTGGTAAGTGGGTTTTACATTTTCGAGGTTTTTTCTTCAGTTCTTAAGGGCCTATACCACCTTAGCTCAAATTACAATTTCGCCCCCAGTTCCCCGCGTGTCGTATGCTATGTGAGGACATGTAATCACTAATAATGTAAGTAGATAGGTCGTTAGATACTTATTTCATTAGGTTTAGCGTATTTATGCCAGTTTCTTTACGCTAACCTAGTCGTTTCTTATTTTTATTACGGTTATTTCCCATTTAGATTTTACGTCGTCCTGTTGCGTAGTGAGTATTCTGATCGTAAACGACATAGCTTTCGTTAGGAATGGGGGATCCGTTGGTTTTAATATTTAAAAAAAATTAAAAAATAAGCCATCTTTTATAGTTAGTTCAGTTAGTATGCAAAGTTATATGATCTAATTCTAAGTATTTTATGAATACCAACAGTTTATTGTTTAGTTTGGAGGTAACTTTGGATTTTTTTTCATCGAGAAAATTTTATGGAATCGTGTTTTCGTCTAACATAGTACTTAACTTAATTCTCAACTTAACCATATATTTATTTCAAAATTAATGTTGCAATATTTTCGGCACAACGGAGGATCTTGCCAAGCCATATGCCCCTTAAAAGTTCAATACTAAACATGAGGCTTTCCCGTCGAGGGCGTGCACGACTTTTTCTGCCACCAGGGCGGCGCTACTTGGAAATGAGGTGAAATATTTGACAGATTTCGTAGCGGTGGAAGTAGCGATTAATGTTTTTTTCTGAAATATTAGTTATATTTAATATTAATAGGATTAGATATGGATAAATCAAATGAAGGATATCCTTAAAGCATAAGAATTAGGAAAAAGTAAAAAATAGGTATAAAATTAAGGAATACAGCATTGATGCATTGTTTTATGTATATGTTACGGCTAAAAGCCGAAGTGCGGTTACACCCAGTTCTAGCCGGCTAGAACTAGGCGCGGCCAGCAGTAGTTGGTTAAATTAAGGTGTACAGTTAAATTTGTAAAGTATAAGAATAAACAAGTGACACTATCACTTGATACGATTTTCAGTAGGCGTTTTGTAGTAGTAGGCTGGGCCACCTTAAAACTGCAAACATTTATTTAATTAATAAATTATGTATGATACATCTACCGCAATCGACTACACCTTGTATTAGCTATTATTAATATTAACATAAACACTGGAAACCGAAAACTTATTTAATACGCAAGTTTTTAACGAGGATGGCAATGTGTGACAAACTCACAAACACAGAAATACTAATAATAAGACTATAGAAATGAGTTAGCGCTCGATTACTTCCAAAACCGATGTCGCCATATCTTAACACATACGCGTTAAGCGACCGATGCCTGCAGCCGTATTGTAAACGTACGAAATGCACAATGATATCTAATGTTTCATATTACATTGCTTGGCGAGTTTGTTGACGTTGCGTGCGGCGAGTATTACGGTGGAAGAAAAGCAGCAATGGTTATTGTACAATACGAAAAGTAAAGTAGAGCCGTGGTAGCTCAGTAGATAACGCTCGCTGTAAATATAACAGAACGCGAGTAACCCGGGTTCGATCCCCGCCGGCACCAATAAATTGTTAATTGCAATTTTAAGTGCTGATTTACTACGTGCTCGGCGGTGAAGGAAAACATCGTTGGGAGGAAACCTGCATGTCTGAGGAATAAGAAAAAAATATTTCGAAGACATGTGAAGTTCGTCAACACGCATTTGGACAGCGCGGCGGACACTTCCTTGCCCTAAACCCTCTCAGAAATGAGGGGAGGCCTGAGCCCAGCAGTGGGATGTATATAGGCTGTAACTTTACTTTACTTTATTTTACGAAAAGTAATAAATGAAAGTTTACAAAGGTAAATGTCATAGTAAATTATTCACCAAGATGTAAATTAGTTAAAACAATGACAATTAGTAAATAATATAGGTACCGATGAAATGTTCTGCCTTTTATGAATTAACACATCCTTGTTGAGTTTTTACAGCTGATTATGCTGAAATTCACCACTATAATAACATAAATTCACGTACGACGTTCCCCGTGCAACTAAATCACAAAATGGTGTAATGATGTTCGTCAACATATCATAGCGGCGACAAGGTTACGCATCTATGCCACTTCTATTGTCTTATTATTACAATTTCTGTGGTGACAAACAAGTTCACCTTAATACCAGCTAGCGATATCTGGTGATCGTAAAATTATTAGTCCTGATTGTCACACTTTGGCAGACGGATTGTAGACCTTAGTATGAGACTTTTCACATATTTATCGATTCTCCTCGCTACCGATTAGCAAACCAATTCGCTAAGATCGTTGAAATCAAAATGATAGTCTATTTATACTCGTAGTACATTGTGTCGTATGCTATGAGACCTAACATGGCTCATAAAACTTACGGCGCAATGTACTATAAAGTGACGTTATGATGTACGTTTTTATATAGAATAAAGGTGACAAACGAGCACGAAGTCTATCCGATGGTAAGTGGATGCTGTTGCCCATTAATATCGACTTTTATCATCGATTAAGTTTCAGAATGCAGATGCGTTATAATACTTGAAGATTAAGATGGAATGTCTCGTTTCCAGTAAAAAGGGTCTCCAATTTTCTACACTCACCATACGAAATATAGCAGCATTGAGCAGCTGTTTGATACTACACATACGGTCTAGCAGTTCTATGGGTTCATTGGTACACCAATTAAGTAACAAACGCGTGGGCACCAAAAGGAGCAATGCATCCCGTAGAAGATGACGAGAAATCAGGAGCTCATCACCGTTGCGCACAGTCGTACAAAACACGCGAGCGTTATTTGCGTAATGTTCGAAAGGCGGAAACATCCGACATTCTCCGATTCGCAAGTTACATACGGAGATACGTCACAAAGTGAATTTAAATATTTTACGTAAAAGGCAGACAGCCATTTTGGCGTGTCCACATTAAATAAAACTAATTTTATCGCGTTTAATTTTTGTTTTTAATAAAAGTTTAAAAGAAACGCAATTAAATTCGCAATTCTAGCGTAAATCAATATTAATGTTAGAATCATCTGTCTACAGTCCCTGTAATCTATTGCCAATGCCCAAGAGTTGACCTTTATTGGCATTAAAGAAGAATAATGTTTGCTCTTTATTTCCGCAAAGGAGGTATGGCGTATAAAGTTAAAAAGTTAAAATTACATACGTATACGTGTCACTGTTGGGCACAGGCCTCCTCTCATTTTTGAGAGGGATTTAGGACAAGGAAGTGTCCGCCGCACTCCACCAATTAGTGTTGGCGAACTTCACATGTCTTCGAAGTATTTTTTTATTTCTCAGACATGCAGGTTTCCTCACGATGTTTTCCTACACCGCCGAGCACGTGGTAAATCAGCACTTAAAATTGCAATTAACAATTATATATTTACACACAAATATTAGGGAAAAGTACGGATGCAATCGGTTAATAAATTTTGTGTTTTTTTCCAGATGGAAAAGTTTTTGGGAAACATGGCACTCGCTTGTTTCATCAGCCTATACTTTTTACTTTTTGTCGAAGCACCATTAAACAATTTAGTAAATTTATTGTTGAATAATAGGTGAGTAATTATGCCTTTTTAGCCGACTGCAAAAAAGAAGTTTATCAACTCGACTGTATTTTTTTAATGTAAGTTACGCGATATATTCGTCTTTTGTGAATCCATTTTGATAATTCTTTTTCTATTATATAGACAACCATATAGGCTACACTTTAGTCCCATATACATGTGGAGAAATATGTCTACCCCTAAAGGTGATAAAATAGGGGATGAAATTTATAATGCACGCGGAACGCAATAGGCTTCTGTTGTACTAGGCTGCAGGGCTACAGGGCTGACTATCATAAAAAGATATACAAAACGCTAGTTAAACTTCAAATGGCACTAAAACTATGCTGAACTTGTATGAACACGCACTTACGCGCACATGAGCATCTAAAATAATTTTCGGACAAGTGTTGTTTTAGATACATACGGAAGCGTCTTGTATGGGAACACCACAGGCTGTATATTATGAAAGAAAGAAGAAAGTTGAGCATTGTTTTGATGTCATATGAATTGTACGTAGTAATGTTCTACCCCTCGTTTTGTCAGTCTGTAGATACAGGGTGATAATAGATATTATTACAGGATGATATAGAGATAATTATTTATTTGAACTTAATTTACATAATAGTATGAAAAACGAGGTTAGTACGTAATGGGAGTAAAAATGGAATATATAGCATAGATGAGCATAGATAACAAAACATGAGTCTTCATTTTGTCGCGTCATAGATATGTGCTTTTTACCTTGAATTCAAAATTAGGTACTTATAGGCAGAAAGAAATTTCAAGCACCTCCTAGACTGATGTAATACAGTAATTGTTGTGTCATGACAAATTTTAATATTTATTTATATCTTAATGTCGTATTTTACACCAGATTTATTAATTTATGTTATGTTATTTATTTAAATACGACATGGCTGTTAGTTTTAAATAATTTTTTTTAGTGGAAATGCTGAAGAGAAGGTAAAGGATAAAAAATATAATTAGTGGAAAAAGTATATTATATTCGGCCTTACTCATAAAAGCGCTTTCTCCATTTTCACTAAGGGGTAATAAAAAGGGACAGGTATAGAGATAATTAATAACTAAATAAGAGATAGTAAATGATTACATTTAAGGCACAAAATGTTCTAAAGCAAGTTGGTTTCGGTTGGTTTTTTAATTTTCTTTGTAAGTTTCTTAATTAAATTATAGTTGGTGAAGTCATTAATTTTGTTTTGATGATGTTATAAATCTTTGATATTTGAAATAAAGTATTTTTATTATTATTATTCAAACATATATATCTATAGTTATAAATAACATTGAAATATCTGTGTGTAATATTGTAGTAACTGACTTCTATAAGCTTAGGGGATTATTTGATAACTATTAAAACGTACAAATAATCATTTTAAAAATGTTTGCTTGTCCAGGCTAATAATCTTCGAAATGGCTGAATCGATTTTGATGAAACTTTATAAAGGAATATAGATCAATGCCAGAAGGGATGCAGGCAATATTTTATCGAAATACTTGAAGATTGCTTTTAATAAACGAGAAACTGATAAAATAAGTAATAATAATAATATCCTCCAGACCGAATATGGATCACGGCGGCCTGCCTCAACGTAGACTATCCGGACAGGATTATAGTGCCCAAGTGTATGCGCAGGCACAGGTGTACTCTCTATTCCCTTACTCTCATAATCCGATGGGACGGTAAACCGACACGACCGGAGAGAGATCAGGCGCAGAACCAAGGGCTTTACGTGCTTTCCGAGGCACGGGGGTGAGACACCGCTAACTTCCTGACTCCGGGCTGCTATTGAGAATTCCTTGACAGAAAAACTCAATAATCGATTTTTTGGCCCGACCTGGGATTCGATCCCAGGACCTCATGATCGGCAGTCACACTACTATAACCACTAGATCAACGAGGCAGTCAAGATAAAATAAGTAATAATATTAAGTGAACAAAACATTTAGATCTCATTAGTGGATAGTAAACTGAGCAAATCATCGTCCACAAACAGCACCAGTTCATAAGTATGACTGCTACACGCATTGACATTGAAACGTTCAGTAGGTGATAGGTAAAGACAAAAACACCATAGATAATACGACATGTATCGTATTGCCTACGTTTTTTTATAGAAGAGGGAGCAAACGAGCATGAAGCCCACCTGATGGTAAGTGACTACCGCCACCCATGAAAAACTGCAACATCAGTAGAATAGCAGGTACATTGCCGGCCTTTTAGAAAGGAATAAGCTCTTTTCTTGATGGCTACCAAGTCGTATCGGTCCAGAAAAAATGACGGAAGAAAACTCCCAGTGAAACGTACAGTGATGGACCGTCAAGCAATCAGCAATAGCAATCAGATGGTGTGAATGGTATCGCGAGTTGTGTTACGACGTGCGTTCGTGAAATTTGGCGGCAGGAATTAATCCGAACAATTGCTTAGAAGGAGTGCCGTGGTAGATGGTAGAGGAGATGCAAATGCATACAACATATCTTCGAAGCGCCAGTGGATTGAGCCGATCGCAGAGGACTCGGTCATCAACGATTCGAGCCGCTCTGTAATTGATGTGGTCAAGTGGAAGGAACTGGCTCCCGGCCCAGAGATGGGAATTAGTATGTGACGCCAAACCTGGGCCTTGTAAAGTTGCAGGCGGTGTGTCGGCATGAAATGCTGTCCCGCTCTGCTGGGCACGCCAAGCTTTTTAGAGGCCAATTTGGTCTTCTCTTACAAGTGACCACGAAACTGCACATTATTCGATATGTTGACGCCAAGGATTTTGATACTGGCTGAGGCAACAAGGGGAGAGCCTGGAAACTGAGAGGATATGACAAAAGAGTTCTTTTTAACGATAGATGCGCAAAATTGTGTCTTCTGTGGATTGAACTGGACTAGATTTAGTCGACCCAATTTGAGATTTTTTTTATAGAAGAGGGGGCAAATGAGCATGCGGCTCACCTGATGTTAAGTGACTACCGCCGCCCATGATCAACCGCAACACCAGGGGAATAGCAGGTGCGTTGCCGGCCCTTTAGAAAGGAGTAGGCTCTTTTCTTGAAGGTCCCCAGATCGTATCGGTCCGGAAAAATCGCCGGTGGTAAACTATTCCACAGCGAGGTTGTACGCGGAAGAAAACTCCTTTTGAAACGTACTGTGGTGGACTGCCAAGCATCCAGATGGTGTAGATGGTATCGGGACGTTTGCCGCGTAGTGCGTTCACGAAATTTGGCGGCTGGGATTAATCCGAACAATTCCTCAGAGCACTCTCCATGGTATATGCGAAATAAAATGCAAAGAGATGCAACATCTCTTCGCAGTGCCAGTGAATCGAGCCGATCGGAAAGCACTCGGTCGTCGACGATTCGAGCCGCTCTGCGTTGGATGCAGTAAAGTGGAAGGAGCTGGTACTGGGGATCTCCAGCCCAAAGATGGGAACAGTATTCCATGTGCGGCCGAACCTGCGCCTTGTAAAGTCGCAGGCGGTGTGCCGGCATGAAATGCTGTCCCGCTCTGCTAAGCACGCCAAGCTTTTTAGAGGCCAATTTGGCCCTTTCTTCCAAGTGACCACGAAACTGCACGTCACTCGATATGTTCACGCCGAGGATTCCAATACTGGCTGAGGCAATAAGGGGAGTGCCTTGAAACTGAGGAGATACAACAAAGGGGTTCTTTTTAGCGGTTAACGCGCAAACTTGTGTCTTCTGCGGGTTAAACTGGACTAGATTTAGTCGCCCCCAATCCGAGACTCTGTTCAGCAAAGACTCGACTTCAGACAGAAGTTTGTTCCGATACGCGGTGACATTTTCCTCAGAAACATGGCACGGCCGGTGTATAGAGCATTACTAGTGCTGTCATTCGCATAGCAATGGATGTTACCGGTTTGCAACATATCATTGATATGCAGAAGAAACAACGTTGGTGATAGCAAGTAACCTTGTGGAATACCAGCATTAATAGGCTTGAATCGGAGTATGCACCGTCTACTACGATCATGATGCTCCGATTTTCAAGAAAGCTGGTGATCTAAAATTGCACGATTTCCCGGGTAGCCCATTAGATGGAAGTTTAGAAAAAAGCGCTTTGTGCCAAAACCGATCGAAGTTTTTCGCTATGTCCAAACTAACCACCAAGGCCTCCCTCATGGACTCGATCGCCTGCACTCATCGGCGTGTTCAGTAAACAAGAAGATCACCAGCCTAGCGACCCCGATGGAAACTGTACTGACGGTCACGAATCCGCTGGTGCTCCTCAAGATACCGCGTGAGCTGTCGTTTAATGATCGACTCCATTAATTTTGAGAACAAGGAAGTGATGGCGATAGAAATATAATTAGACAGATCAGAACCGTTACCTTTTTTAGGGTTCGGGTGCATGTTGCACTTTCCTAGTGAAGTGATGTTGGGATTATTCTTAACTAGTGACAGTGATGGTGCATGTCATTGAGGAAATGCGGGTGGAGCAATTACCACACTAGAACCATCATCATCATCATCATCATCGATCACAGCCCTTCACAAGTCCACTGCTGAACATAGGCCTCCCCCAAGTAATGCCACAAAGCACGGTCCTGAGCCACCTGCATCCATCGACTTCCTGGATATCTTACCAGGTCGTCACTCCATCTAGTGGGGGGTCGCCCTACACTACGCCTACCGGTACGAGGCTGCCACTCGAGAACCTTTCTTCCCCATCGGTTATCGGTTCTTCGAGCTATATGGCCGGCCCATTGCCACTTCAGCTTACTAATCCGTTGGGCTATGTCGGTCACTCTGGTTTTACTGCGGATATCCTCATTTCTGAGTCTATCACGCAGAGAAACTCCGAGCATAGCCCTCTCCATAGCTCGCTGAGCGACCTTGAGCGTCCTCATACGGCCAGCAGCAATGTATTATTAAGACTGACCTCATTACATTTTCATTACCTATATAATACGATAGTATACTTAATATTAAAAAAATAAGGTAGTCGGGCTAACTATGACATTGGGACGTCAAAGATCTCAGTCGCCCCCGTTACCATGGGTGCTGTAAGGCACCCGAGACGTCGGGAATTAAAAATCAGTTAATAAAACGCGATAAAATCCGTATAAATCGTTTTATTCAATGTGTAGTGTTCGCGTAAATATAAGAAATCATAAATTTTTGTTTGGCAGAGAACTCTTGTTTCAAATTAATTTTATTTTAAAAATATCGAATTCTTTTTCCGCAATGATTCATTTGTTAATTGATTAACGTTATGAATATATTATGGTTTATTTTTATTTTTTTTTGTAAAAATATTTGCAAGTTTTGTTTTTTTCATCGCATTAGACTCTTTTTTATCATTATAGATAGTGGATATGTTAGAAATTCGAGTAATTATAAAATATAAGTGCGGTCGTGGCAGCAACACGGCACAAGCGGCATGCAACATCAATTACGTTTATGGAGCGAATACTACCAATGAACGCACTACACTATACTAGTCCCAGCACCACTATTCCCGGCACCACTACTTCCAACACCACTATTCCAGGTAAGACACACCATCGACGATAATACGACACGTGTTTCGCCTCTACACGAGGCATCCTCAGGTGATGTAGACTCTACGACGGCAGGCCGCTAAGTGAGCGGCGAGCTTTTTTTTTGCGCCCGAAGCAAATATGGGCAACCCTCCGGAAAGCGGGGAATGCTCATAGCATACCACGCAGCCGGCTGCGTGGTTATGTGGAGACTTTTACCCACTAAACCCCACCTTTTACCTTTTAGGGACTGGCTTAACGGTCTAACTAGAGATCTCTAAGCCGTATACGGACGCGACCCTCCTTGGCAGAAAGGAGGGCGCAAGGAGCGGCGAGCCAAAACAGCTGTTATTTATACACGCCGACACAACCGCTCCCCACCAAAGTAGCGAGCAACTGCGCCGTGCGATAACAAACCTGCGACTAATTATCATTGTGGAGTCGAGTAACTGGTACTACTAGCTTGTGTTTGCTCCTAGTATT